GTGGCAGGCGAGCATTCTACCACTGAACCACCGATGCTACGAGTACACTGCCTAGGCAACGTTGGGTCATTTTGAAGTAGGAACTCACCACAATGATATCAGGCTCATATTTGTGTACTTTTGCAAGGAATAGTGACAAGAGAGCTTTTTCATTTCCTGCAGTGAGGACTATGTCTGCTAGGCCCCGTCTGTTCAGCTGGTCCTTGATGTCAAAAGGGAGAGTGCCGCCGTATGGCTTGGTAAACACTGAAAAATAAAAGCATTTGGGCATGAAAGTTCTTTTATGCTAAATAGAAAATAAATAAACATCCACGAAGTCATCGAATATGCACTCAAATAAATAATATTTTCCTTAGTACGAAGGGTTTCTAGCCTTTACTGACCCAAACAAACGGTTAATGTATCCTAGACTTTCCAATTTTTCGAATAATGCAAGTATGAAAGTATGTAGTAAGTATAAATATGAAAAATTAAGCTGTGCTTGAAATAAGCGTAGAAAGCATAGCGTCCTGTTCAGAACGAAGCGAGAAGAAGTGAGAAGAATACACGAACAACTTACTGCATAATCGATGAAGATCCTTTTGGTCGGTACTAGGGTTACCCAGGTTACAAGCGGGATTGTATAACATTGATATCATGCAGATCTGCAAAGATGATCAATCACGGCAGATTTAGATGTGAGTATACCTTGAAACTAACCTCATTCTCCTTCTTATCATTCAAAGTGGTTAGAACATTAAGTACAAGCATTCGCACAGGAGGCGCAGTTTGAGTTATTGCAGTGTTATAGTTAAGGTTACGCATTCTTTCCATATCTACGCTGAACTCATAATCGCAATAGGATTGCTTCGCTGTCACTTCGACTAAAAAAACCACCATATCAAACACGAAATATCTACGGCGCACTACCAAGCTTGGATCTTACCATAGTTAGTGAAATCCATCCAACCAGGTCCCATCATCCCCTTCTCGACAAGTAGTCGCTCCATAGCAGTCGTTGTAGTATTGAAAACAGCTGAGAACGTTTCGCCTGATAGGTCAGTGGGCAACTTTGGATGATTGCTCTGCAAATACAGAGATAAAGAAATAAAGATGAAATAATGCATTCGAGTTTGGCATAGGATTTTCCGTCAAGCTGAACAATTTAGGAGGACCTTATCGGCACTAGATGGAATTTGATTAGCTATCTTTAGAATAAGAGAAGTTGGCAAGATGATCAGAAAGAAATGAAATAACAAAAGAAGTCCAAAGCA